CAATTGGGCATTAAAAAAGACTATATTGGAGTAACCACCAGGAGTTTGGGACTTAGAATCAAGGAACATAGTTATAATATCAGAAAGGAGTCTAATGCAACAATTTTGTCCCAAATGGCGCAAACACCAGGATCTGTAGTCAAATGGAATGAGGCAACCATCATAGAACCTTTATCTTCCCCATCTTTGGCGTTGACAGCTGAAAAGTTGTAGATTTATAGGAGTAAAATACAGGAAGACTGTTTAAATGCGAGGGATGCAGAAAGTCTTCCCTCTGCATGGAAGTTTATAGTTAAGAAATTTAATAAGTGCCCTAACCAATGAAATTAGTAATTTTATTGGATGTGTTAGTAATTGTATTTCTTAATAATTCTATGTACATTTTTTACATTTTATATTTTTATTTTGTTACTCTGTTGGTTACTGAATATTTTAATTTTTAATTTTATCTTATTCCGTTGCTTATTTAATTTTGAATTTCGAATTTTGTATTCCATCAATGGAATTCTTTAATTCAAATTTGGTTTTCAACCGGAGGATGGCCTGTGAACCAGGCTGAAAACGTTTGTTTGAAATAAATTATATTTCTCGGCAAGGATAAGGTGTTAGTTATATGTATTCAGAGAAATATCAAAAACATTATATAAATTTTTAAATATACTGAATGTGATTACAACTTTCTAAATTTTTGCAAACAACAAACGGCAAAACACAAATAAAATACTATCATAGTTTTCAATGAAGATCTCTTTTACATTTTAAAAAATTTTCCATATACAGTAGACGTTCCTATAACGCGGGGTCATATAATGCGGATTCGTATATCGCGGCGAAAAAATTGCGACCGTATTCGTATAAGACGCTAAAAGAGACTCGTAAAATGAGGTAAACGTCATCGCCGTATCGTGTCGGGACAAGATTGGTCGAATCTGGACCAATAGTGGACGAGCAGCCGAACAACTTACACGCTACGGAGAGTTTAGGCGGATTAGTTAAGTTTTCTATCGTCTGTACAGTATATAGGCCAAAATTAGGTACAGTGGACCCCCATAACACGGTAGATACGTTCCTCTTTTTATGAATCCAGCTTCTAGGAGTCCAGCCAATCACAGCCCGGCACGTTTGCAGTTTACGGACTACGGCTGTTTGAAAGGTTTCTTTCATAAAATTAATCGATTCTGGACTAATTAGACTCAACATTTCCAAAACACGTATAATTTTTTGGGAATAATTCGTAAAAACTATGCTATAAACAAAAAATTGTAGAATTACTTACTGAGTGTTCACCGTTCGACTACGCCGTTGCTTAAGCTTGTTTTCGTCGTGGAGATTGTCATCGAATGGCGCTCGCGTGCTTCCCGAAAAATTGCTTTTTTTGCGAAAAATTCGCTGAACTTTAAAGACATCATTAATACAAATATAATTTGTATGGACGATAAATAATAAATGGTTTTTGGTAGGTCCGCTGCTCGTTTAAACTCGACGGTTTGTGCAATCCTGTCGCAACACGAGTCAGGAATGACGTTTCACCGAATTATAGGAGTTTATTTTAGCATGTTTGTACGAATACTGTCGCAATTATTTCGCCGTGATATAGGAATCCGAACTATAGCAACTCTTGTTATGGGTAGTCGACTGTACTGTAAGTCTAATATAGTACTGTAATTTTATACATTTCTTGTGGAAAAAAACATTTCATATTCAACGGTAATAAAAATTATTTCTATTAATGATGTCTCCGAAGATCAACGAATTTTTCGCAGAAAAATAACTTATCAGAATACGCGGTCGCCGTTTGGTGCGCTGCTCCGCGACGAAAACAAGCTTAAGCGATGGCGTGGTCGAACAGTGCACACTCGGTAAGTAATCCTACAATTTTTTGTTTATAGCATAGTTTATACGGATTATTCCCTAAAAAATTATACGTGTTTTGGAAATGTTGAGTGAAATTAGTCTAGAATCGATTAATTTTATGGAAAAAAAAAACCTTTCAAAAACCTGCAGTCTATATACTGCACACGTGCTGGGCTGTGATTGGCTCATGTATTTGAGGACTCCTACAACGCGAAATTCTTATAAAGCGAACCGTATCTACCGCGTTATAGAGGGTCGACTGTATATATTTTTGACATCTGACAACAAGCAGAAAATCAATTTTTATGCAGTATTCTCTAAATTTTCCATTTGGTCATTTTTATTACCTTTTTGCGATATCTTTAATTTTGGAAAAACGAAAATACATTTGGGCCTTAATCTATAGACCACGTCGATTGAAAAAGTACGAAAGAGTTAGTTTAGCGAGAAAAAAAAAATCTAAATAAAATGTTTGTTGCTAAACATTATCGTGATGTATAAACCGACTGAAGGCTATTCACTTTCGAATTTTTTTTTCCGCGCTTTACACAATTTTCGAAAAATAGACATATACTTTTTCACTTCGATTTTCACTCTTTCCAGCATAAATTTAAGAAAGACATTTACTGCCAAAACACGATACTAGCAGAAAATTTATCTTGTAGTTGAATTTCCTCGTTCTTTTCGCTTTGGGATCAGCTGCCGTCCATCGACTATTGCTTTGATTGTCGTTTTGTCTTGGGATCTTTCCTAAAGACTCAAATCTGATTACTAGTTATTACGTTGTTTTTCTTTTAAACTATCTGAAGCCTGTTTTGGAAGACATTTGGCGTTTTATTTATTGCTACGGCATCAACATTTTCAAAGCGATTATGCAGGTTTTTTAAATTAACTACTTTATGGGTAATTGAATGAAATAGCCTGTATGACACTGATTTCTTTAACAACCTCTCATATCTTTATTCTCTGATTTTCGTATATCAAGTGCTTAACTTTATAACAGTCTAGTGTTGGCTCACTGTTTTTGACCAGATCTTTAAAACAATGGAATTAAAGTCGAATGAACCTGCAGTTGTTTTAAAAATTTTGTATTTTGAACATGCTGTTGATATTTTTATTGAAGCTTCATCAGGAGTGTTTTATGTCATCGAGAATCTCTTACTAAACGATTTTTTCATATTAAAGCATAAATTTAAGTAAATCCTTCATTGAAAATTGTCGAAACGATAAATTACGAATGCTTCAAATGTACGAAACACAC